TTTAGAAAAGCGTTTAAATTCAATTAATTTATTCCCACCTAAATCTTCATTGTTGCTAGAATGAAGTATTCCGTGGAGGATAACATTTGACGATTTAATCTCAGGCAACTCGTGATTAATACTTAAGAAATTTGCAGGCCAGTGAGAGACCTCTTTCTTTAAAAATTCAGGTCCTGACCACCACTTACTCATGGATGAAATATCCTTACAACTCACACCGCGAGAAATATGATCGGCCGGATTACACTCTGTTGGGACATGCCTCCACTCGCAATTTCCAGTCTTCTCTAATATTTCAGCAACCCTATTTCTGACAAAGGGTTGTAGCTTGTTAGGTAACACCTTTAACCATCCTAACACGATGGACGAATCTGTCCAAAAGAAAGTGCGCTTAGCCTGTTGTCTCAGCGATGCTACAACCTTTTGGTAAAGGCGAGCTCCAACAAGTGCACCACAAAGTTCCAGTCTTGGGATTGTTATAGGTTTAAGCGGCGCGACACGACTTTTCGCCATCAATAATTGAATTAAAACCTCACCCTGATCATTAACACTACGCACATATAAACAGGCGCCATATGCTCGCTCAGAAGCGTCCGAGAAAATATGAAATTCAAACAAACTAGGCGAGTCACAAATAACACGACGTGGAATACGTAGAGTATTTAATTTAGGTAAATCGACTATTATCTCAGCCCACATCTTGCTGATTTCTGGCGTCAACTGCTCATCCCATGACAGCTTGAGCAGCCACAACTGTTGAAGAAGCATTTTCATCTTAATTACACAGGGAGATAGAAGTCCTAGTGGATCAAAAATCTGAGAAATCACAGATAACATATCACGCTTTGTTCTACCTGAGAATAGCCCTCCTATAGGGAAACAAAGTTGGTCAGTATGTGATTGCCAACCAAGGCCTAAAGTTTTAGTCGGTTCAAAGCCACCAATATTCAAGTCAAGCGGAGAAATATCATTCTCACTAACCAGTTGAGATTCATTCGACTTCCACTTTCGCAAAACCATATGAGCTGATGCAAGTGTGGAAGTCACTTTACGGCGCAAATCTGTAACCTCGTTAATATCATCCCCTCCCGTTAGCAAGTCATCAACGTAAAAATCGTGAATGATCACTTGAGCAACCTTGTCATCGGTACACTCTAAGCCTAATTGTTGGAGGCACCTAGTTGCCAAAAAGGGAGCACTAGAGGTGCCGTAAGTCACGGTGTAAAGCTGATAAGCTTGAAGCTGTTCTGAAGGGTTATCACGCCAGACAATTTGTTGCAAATAGCGGTCATCGGGATGAATGACTATTTGCCGGTACATTTTCTCAACATCAGCTGTGAGAACGTATTTGTGTAGCCGAAAGCGTAAAAGAATGGACAAAAGGTCGTCCTGTACCACGGGACCTACCATCTGTATATTATTCAAGGAAACACCCGAAGAAGTCGGACTGCTAGCATTGAAAACGACTCTTAATTTAGTAGTAGTACTACTTTCCCGCAGCACACCGTGATGTGGTATAAAATTCATCTTACGTGGTAAATTATCATTCTCACATTTCTCCATATGACCCAGACTTTCATACTCTGACATAAATTCTTTATACATTTCATAGACCTGAGATTGACCTGCTAACCTGCGCTCTAGCGATAGTAAACACTTCTTAGCTCGTGGCCAAGAATCACCTAATACGTCAGGATTATGTTTTAAGGGTATCCTCACGCAAAATCGACCATTTACCAGTCGCGTGGTGTTTTTTAAAAAGTGTTCTTCGCATAATTTTTCTTCGTTTGAATAAAGAGACGCAGGGCTTACCTCTTCGAGGTGCCAGAAGCGTACTAATTGTTTTTTTATATCTTCATCTAAATCTTTACTAGCCTCATCTTGAAATATTCTTGTAAAATTACATTTAATAAAGTTAACCCCTTTCTTTACATATCTATAATCTATCGGACCTGATACTAACCATCCTAAGCTAGTTTCACAAAGAATCGGCTGACCGTCCCCTAATTTTAATCTCTGCGTTCCTATTAAGTCCCAAAAGACATCAGCACCTATAAGCATGTCAACGGGAGCAGGTGAGTGAAAATTAGGATCTGCCAGAGAAATATTAGATGGAATTTTTAAGTTTGACAAATTAACATATCTAGTAGGTACATTTTGGGTTATTGATGGTAGGACAAAACAATGAAGATTACTAGAGAAGTTATCATTCAATGATTTTATCGATACCTTACAAATCTTCTTGATGTGTGCCGAAGCATTATTAATACCGACTACCGACTGATTTACATTTTGAGCGGGCAAACCTAGCCTTTGATATAACTCTTCAGTTATTAAACAAGCGTTACTGCCACTATCAAGAATAGCACGAGCAATATATGGACAACCATTCTTACCTATAACTTTAATTAATGCCGTCGATAACAATACGTCGCCTTGTTCACTACACGATGCAGTGCCTACCTTTGCGGATAATGACAGATGTGCGTTAGAATTGGATGACAACTGTGAGCCTGTCGAACTGTTTGTTTGTTCGAAATGACCTTGCATAACGGGCTTATTATTACCACTACTCGTGTTAGATGTATTAATATCTGTAATTGGTTTTGACTGGTAATCTGCGACGTGCACGAGAGTGTTATGCTTTCGGTGGCATATTTTGCATCCTGGCTTTTTGCAGTGATTTGCATAATGTCCTGAATTAAGACAATTGAAACATACTTTATACTCTGGCAGTAACTGTAGACGCACATCGTTACTTAATCCAAGAAACTGAGGACAACTGCTTAACTTATGGTCACCCTTACATTTAGGACACAGTTTGGCGGAAAAGGCCGAACCGTTTTTATTACCGGTATCCCGAACTGAAACCATTGCCTTAACTTTTGGAGCATATTTTATAGAAGAATTTAAACGGTTAGTAGCACCAGAATTAGACATTTCTAGTGTTTCGATTAAATCGGCTCGATTTTTTAAAAACATCAAAAATATATCGAACGTAATAGGTGTATCTTTCTCCAAACGACCTTTAGACTCTTCCCATTCACGATATGTCTTAGCATCTAATTTTTGAGTAATAATATGAATGAGAAGTGTGTCCCATTGTTTAGTTGGCTCACCGAGAGATTCTAGTGCACGTAAATTTTTATTTATTTGGTCAATAAGACGTTTTAAGTTGACAGACAATTCTTTATTAATTGGTGCTATATTAAATAAGGCTGTCACGTGATTTTGAATTAGTAGTCTTTTATTATCATATCTATCACATAATATAGTCCATGCGACGGTGTAATTAGCTGCCGAGAATTCGATTGACTGTATTACCACAGCAGCGGGCCCTTCCAACGACGCTCTCAGATAGTGAAACTTATTTATGTCATCTATCTCGTCATTTGAATGTATGAGGCTCATGAACGTGTCATGAAACTCTAACCAATTATCATAAGAACCATTAAATTTAGGTAGTTGAATAGTGGGCAGTTTAACAAATTTATGATTGCCGGAATGAGAGCCACCGTCACTGCTTACGTCATCTGACTTAATGCAATCTGCTAAGATCCTTTTTGCAAGAGAAAGCGATTTAAAATACAGGGATTCAAAATCAGTTCGTTCTGATATCTGGGCGTCTATATTATCAGTATTACACTCGATGGATAATTGTACCTCATCATATCGTTCATACATTGACTCAATCCTACTAATACGTAATTGCAACTCATTTACCTCAGTAGCAGCCAATGAAGATACCTTCAGTGAATTTAAATAATTTGAAAAAGCAGTTATTTGTCCCTTGTAACTAGCTCGTTTCCTAATTTGCTCCTTATCTTCTGGCATGTTGGCTGGTATTGGGAGACTAGTGCAAATGCCTAAAATTTATACAAACAAGAAGTTTATATTTTATAAAATATAATTCATAAGTAGTTTTATACAATTTTGCTTACAGTTGTAAAGAAATGAAAACTAATTCCCTTACTTATTTTTCAAACTCTTAAATAATTAAACAAAATGGTACATGTACTACCTTGATATTTAACTTTATAATTAACAACAATTAAGGGTAACAAATACAATTCAGACCATCAAACAGCTTCACAGGTATGCCTTAGTATGTAATAAATAATATTATGCAATTTTTTCAATTATACACTCTCTTGACTTATTTTAAAAAAAACAGTTTAAACCAATAAAGAGAAAAAAAAATTATAATATCGTCAATATAATTTAACTAAGCTTTATAATTTAATTTAATCCTGATTTGACGGTTATTAGAAACTATATAAACAATATTAAATGAATTTTAGCCGATTAAATACTTTAAGTTATACGTAATTATTTTATAGGTAATTTGGTACTAACCTGATAAATTAGCAGTCGATTTACACAAAATACTACCTGATAATGAGTGCTGGGTTAAATAAATTAAATAATAGTCCAATATCTAAGGGGCTAAGACTCCAGATTTCTTGGTTAAATATCTTCACTCCCTCGGTGGTATTTCCACAACGAATATTTAAGACTTCCCAAGCGTATTCCACTAAATAATATCTTGTCCAATTACGTTTTTTCAAATCCGGCTTCGATTTAGGACCATGAATAGGAAATTGATCTCTGTTTAATAGTAAAATGCTGTAATTTGCTCAACCGACCTTTACTTGATCTCTAAATTTTACAACGACGACAGGTACAACATTTTTTAAACATACCTACACAGCTTACGGACTAATATTGGCATGAGAACTGCTAATATAATTTGACAGGCGCATCAACAATATCTGTAACACTTCATTTTCACCAGCTCAGTGCTGGACAATGGTATAATAACTTGTAATCATCATCATCATCATCATTCATCCTTCACAAGTCCACTGCTGAACATAGGCCTCCCCCAAGGTATGCCACAAATCACTCAAATCACATCTCAATCACACAAATCTGAGCCACATGCATTCATCGAGTTCCTACATGTCAGTCTTACCAGATCGTCACTCCATCGAGTGGGGTCACACCATGGGTGACCAAGCCACGGCTACTAAACCACGCCATGATAAGGCAGGAACCCGTTCGGTTTCGATTTCGGGGGGGGGGGGGGGGGGAATTTTGTATATTTTCTGGGATCTTGTTGTAAAAGCGTATATATCGCCCCAGGAATAAATTACTGACTCGGTGGACTCGAGTAACTGGTACTACTAGCTTGTGTCTGTTCCAAGTATTTACAGAATGTATACCACTTCTTGCATGCCGTAAGTGCAAAGTGCGTAGGTATGTTCTACTAACACCTAAAAATCAAGATTCCAACGTTTTGCCGCATAAAATCATATCTAACAATCATATTGTGTTGTTTTACCTGACTCCAGGATACAAAACATGCCTTTGTAAGGAACGCAATGAAGAGACTTTACGTGGTAGAGCCATGCTGCAGCTATATTAATAGTATAGCTGTAGCACGAATGGGTCGGCTCGACCGGGGAAGGACCACGCTCTCACAGAATACCAGCGTAAAATAGCAGCTCAAAACTGCTGTGTTTTGTATGGTGAGTGTAGAGAACCGGAGACCCTTTTTACTGGAAAAGAGGTATTCGATCTTAGTCCTCACGGGTGACAACGCATCTGCATTTTAATTCGCAAACGAGGATAGATGTAGATGTCTATGGGCCACAGCAACCACTTACCATCAGGTGGACTGTGTGCTCGTTTGTCACCCTATCCTATAAAAAAATATTGAACATAGAAATGATATAAAAACACACATTGTCAGAAAGATAAATGATTGTTGAACTTATTAATATTTTTCTTTATTAGAAGTTGGACATAAAATAATTGGAAAATTGGAAGTATAATGAGGTTATTAGTGAAAACTTGTGTGTATTTAAACTACTTTAAAAAAACCGTATAATCATGTTGTACGTAATTTTTTAAATGCGCTTAGGGCATACACAATTGGATTTACCTATAGCTTTTGTTTTTATTTTGTATAACTACTTTTATTTTTTGTACGTATATTACATTTTCGTAAATGTGTTGAGAGGCCAAAGTTAATATATTAATTTCTATAATTTTTTGTCGGAGCGACTCTTTAGGTTTTAAATCATAGATTGCTCTGACGGCCCTGTCCTGTAAAACAAATATAATTTCAGTGTCAGACGCGGCAGTCCCCATAACAAAATACCATACGACATTATGACTAAATAATACTTAATATTTTTAAATTAAAGAAATGGTTAAGGTGTTGTACTATTTTTATAACAAATGTAAAACGGTGTAAGTAAGAGAACGAATGAAAGGAAAAGTAATACGTTGTGGTGGGATGATGAGGTACGGATGGAAGTTGAAGCAAAGAAGAGAGCATGGCTAGATTTACTAGCAACTAAAGCTGGTAATTCTGGCGGTATGAATGATGAGATTGAAAGAAAAAAGGCAGACTTTAGACGTATAAATAAGAGAGTAAAAGAAGTTGTTGAAAGGAAAAAGCAAGAAAGGATAGATAAGAATGATAGAAGGATATCTGATAACTTCCAGGCAAATATTAAAATGTTCTGGAAGCTCGTAAGAACTGCCAGGGGAAATTCAAAACAGCCTAGAATAAATGCTATACGAGACGAGAATGGCTGCATGCTGAATGATGAAGTTTCGAATTTAAAGAGATGGAAGGAATACTTTGAAAGCGTGTTTAAGAGTGAAGAGTCGTCTGGAATAAGTGAAATAGAAATTCCGGAAGAAGTGGAGAGAGGTAGGGAGATAAGTGTAGATGAAATAATGAAAGCAATGAAAAGCATGAAAGCAGGTAAGGCAGCCGGATATGATAGAGTATCACTCGAAATGCTAAGGGCTGGTGAGGGTGTGGTTACAGGCCTGCTGCACACCTTGTTTAATTTATGTTGGGAACTGAAACGGGTACCGGAAGACTGGTGCAAAGCCGTTATAGTCCCAATATATAAGGGAAAGGGGTCGCAGCAGGACTGTAAAAACTACCGTGGTATCAGCTTGCTTAGCATTGTGGGTAAACTGTATGCTAAGGTGTTAATTGAAAGAGTTATGGAAGAAACTGATGGAAAAATTTGGGATGTGCAAGCTGGATTTAGAAAGGGGATAGGGTGTACGGATCAAGTCTTTTCCATGCGCATGATAGCGGAGAAGTTTTTGGCTAAAAACCAGAAAGTTTTTTGTGCGTTCATGGACTTGGAAAAGGCTTATGACAGAGTGGACAGGAATGTGTTATGGCAAACACTGAACTCATTTGGGTTGAGCGCTGGCTTGATACAGGCATTAAGATCTCTTTATAGGGACTCTAGTGCTTGTGTCAGGATCAACGGGGTCTACTCGGACTCGTTTGGCATTCATAAAGGTGTCAGACAGGGATGTGTGGCTTCCCCGTGGCTGTTTAACTTATTTATGGACAGTTGTTTGCAAACTTTGAAAGTTGAAGAATGTGGGTTGAGAATGGGTGAGTCAACCGTCAAATGCCTTTCGTACGCCGATGATCAAGTCATATTTGCATCATCGGCGGCCGAGTTGCAAATGATGGTTACTTTATTGAATTGGTCATTGAAAGAAAGGGGTATGAAAGTGAACGCAAGTAAGACGAAAGTGATGGTTTTTGAAAGAGAAGAAAGTAAAACTTTATGTGAAATAAGAATAGAAGGGGAGTTGATTGAGCAAGTGGATGAGTTTGTATATTTGGGATGTTTATTTAGCAGGGATGGTAGATATGATAAGGATATAGAACGACGAGTGAACGCAGGAAATAGAGTGAATGGGGCTCTACACGCTATTATGAGGAGTCAGAATGTGTCAACTAAGGCACGTTATGGCAATTCATAATGCTGTGTTAGTCCCTACTTTAATGTATGGTAGTGAAAGTTGGGTCTGGCAGAAGAAGCATGAGAGTAGAATAAATGCTGTAGAAATGCGTTCCTTAAGGAGTATGCTAGGGCTGAATCTGAATGACAGGGTGAGAAATAGTGTGATAAGAGAAAAGTGTGGTTTGCAAGATGACGTTGTGACAAGGATTAAGAAAGGAATGCTTCGGTGGTTTGGTCATGTAGAAAGAATGAATGAGGAAAGAGTGACAAAGCAAATTTATGTTGCGGAAGTGAACGGCAGGGTCGGGAAGGGACGCCCTAGACGAGGGTTTATCGACCAAATCGGCGATACATTAAAAATGGGGCAGATTAGGAGTACCCATAACCGACGAGCGTGTATGCGTAGATATATGGATGTAAAAGAGGCGAGAGAGGTGTGTCAGGATCGCGCCAAATGGAAGTCCGTAGTCTCTGCCTACCCCTCTGGGTGACAGGCGTGAGTGTTTATGTATGTAAATGTAAAACACACACATTATGCAAAATAAATAAATAGCTAAAGTGAACATGTCTAGCTGTTTCCACGTTGGTACGATTTCTAATCTTTTTAACTAAGTCTGCTTGCTAATTTTGATATATGGGGGCCAAAGTTCTAATATTAATTTCTTTAAATTTTTCAGTAAGATGCTCTTTCGTACTTAGGTTATAATTTATAACATCCCTACCCCTCCCTCCCTCTACGTCCCTCTTTTACAAAACAAAGACAGCTTTAAATTCAGTCGCATTACCAAGATTTCATAGGATACTAAGCTATGGAAATAAGTAAAATAAACTAATATAGATGTTTCAACACATGAGTGAAATAAGTTTGCTAGCTAATTTAGATATACAGGGGCCCCATTCAAGCTTCGCGTCAACTGTAATTCTGAGAAAAATTCTGAATTCAACAAGACTTTTCTCCGCCCGTTTAAAAGCGCACAGATATTCACCTGTCAAACAATTAGTGATGCAATTGAATTTAATATAGTTGAATCAGATTATAAGGAAACCCCCCATATATCTGCGTTTTCCTAATTTTAATATTTTTGAAATATTTTATAATATCGCTGGTAATATTTGATGAAATGCGAATTTTTCTGTACAGTCATTTACATTTTGCTCAATTATTTATAGACGCAATAACTTAAACGGAAAGCCCCCATATATCTGAAGTTCGTAATATTAATAGTTTTGAAATATTTTACAGAGATTTTTTATTTTAAGAGTGACAAAGCAAATTTATGTTTCAGAAGTGAACGGCAAAGTCGGGAAGGGACGCCCTAGACGAAGATTTATCGACCAAATCGGCGATACATTGAAAATGGGCCAGATTAGGAGTACCCTTAACCGACGAGCGTGTATGCATAAATATATGGATGTAAAGGAGGCGAGAGAAGTGTGTCAGGACCGAGCCAAATGAAAGTCGGTAGTCTCTGCCTACCCCTCTGGGTGACAGGCGTGAGTATTTGTATTGTATTGTATATTTTACAAAACCTTCTGATAATATTTTATGAAATTTATATTATTTTGTACAGGAATTTACATTTTGTTTAAACTCGGCATGAAAACAGTAGGAAAGGAATTCCGTGACTTTGTAGTCAAGATTGGAATTTCGCTAAAATATTGGTCAAAAGCTGTTGCAATATCTTGATCTGATTTCTTTTAATTATTGTTAAAATTCAATTGGAAGTTGGAGTTGAAAAGTTTTATCTTGCCAGTTTCGCTATTGGTTATACTGCACGTCATTATAATTTTATTAGAGGTAGCCTTAGTTACGTTTCTATTTAATAAAGATATGACTTTGGAGCACCCACTTTAAAGCAGATTTGAATATTATTAAATACTATTCTCTTTTGTTAGCTATTCACTATGATTATATTATTATCTTTCATTTTAAAGGTCATATAATCTTTGTTCTTATGGAAAAAGTAAATAGTTTATTAAATTCGAGACCTAACACCTAAGTAATGTCCCTTATGAGGATTTTCGGATAGTATTGTTTTTATATGGAAGTAATGGAAGCATTTTCATTATAATTAACTCTAAGGCTACCCAAGCGATATTGATTTGTTGAAAAAAAAAACGCAACTTTCTTAACTTTCTATTTTTTGTGAATAGGTAATAGTAGACCAACTGTCCACGGGGATCAGAATTTAAATTCTGAATAATTATTTAAATCATATGGTCTTTTTAATTTATTTAAAGAGCCAACGCGTATTGCTCAATCTAGTGCAACATGTATTGATAACATTTTTACAAATGTGAAGCCGTTGCATAAATGTATAATTCAAAAATTTAGTTCTGATCACTGTGGACAGGTAGTTTCGTTACCTTATGTTCACAAAAAG